CAGGGTGCTTAGTGCAGGGTGTTTAGTGCAGGGTGCTTAGTGCAGGGTGCTTAGTGCAGGGTGTTTGTTTAGTGCAGGGTGTTTAGTGCAGGGTGTTTAGTGCAGGGTCCTTAGTGCAGGGTGTTTAGTGCAGGGTGCTTAGTGTAGGGTACTTAGTGCTCCTCCTTGGTGGGAGGAGCAGGGAAGTACACATTTCTACCCTTCCTGAGTGGAAGTTCTACCTTGATTTTGAATGTAATTTATTTAATTGTATTTAAATTTATATAATTTAAATTTTAATAATGCTCGTTTCACAGGCACCTTATGCACATCCCCGGACGTTGAGCCCTCGGTTCTCGTGAGCTCTAGGGCACATGACTAGTGCTGTCCACGCCGAGCCCGGTCCTGGTGCACCGGCCAGAGCCACGGCCCTGCTGGCAGATACTGCCTCTGGCCGCCTGGCCAGGAAGGGCTGCCCTGACTCCCTTGAGTCCTGACGAGGGGCCGCTGGACAGATGGGGGACGTGGCACCCCCGAGGGCTGGAGGCAGGGCTGGGGAAGGGTGAGGAGGCCCCAGGTACCTTTTCAGTTACCAGCTTCTCCTCTGCCAGCTCGGGAGCCAGAAAGAATGAGTCATAGGAACCTAAGAGAGAAACCCCGGCTGAGCTTTCCTCACCCCTGGTGAGCCGGTGCTGGGCTCGGCCTGAGGAGGACCCCACACACTCACCGTTGGCAGGGGGTGGCTGGAAGAGCACAGCCCCGTCCTCAGCAACCAGCACAGAGTCCAGACACAGGTAGGCTGTGGCAGAGCTTGGGTCAGGGCAGGCATGCGTGCTGCCCTGCACTTGGGGTTGGCTGGGGGGAAGGAGCTGCAGAGCCTCGGTCAGGCTGCGCAGACCCCCAGCCTCCCCATGGCACGGGCACGCACCTGCCAGTGCAAGCACACAGCCTGCCCCCAGCCCCTGGGGTCCTTGGAGCTGCCTCCTCCTGGCCCTCCCCATGGGTAGCACTGCCCCAGCCCACACAGTGGCTGCAGAAGCACAACTGTGGCTGAAAGGGAGCTGGGCAGCAGGGAGAACACGGGCAACAGCTCCTCAGCCGAAGCCCCTGCATCGCAGTTCCTGTCCCGGGGCAGCCATGGGCCAACAGTGGATGGACGCTGGAGCCGGGTGTGTCTCCCATGGCCTCTCCCCCAGCCCTGGGCCCACGGTGGACGGACACCGGAGCCGGGTGTGTCTCCCATGGCCTCTCCCCCAGCCCTCGTAGATGCTGCCCTCATCACCCTCAGGGTATTTTTATGTCGCAGACGCACCATCTGCCTGCCCTGATGTCTGGCAGGGCTGGGCTCTGATGGGGCAGGACCAGTACAATGCTGAAGATTCCCTCCCCACTCCAAAGCCAACTGCTGCCTCCCTGGGGACAACGTCACTGAGTTGAGAATGTGTGGGCCATGGCAAGGTCCCCGTTCCTCTTTAGGACAGGGTCACCGGTTTCAAGGCCCGCCTTGCAGGCATCTGTCCCCACACCTCCCTTGGTGCTACAACCCAGCAGGCACCTCCACGGTGCTCCAGACGGGAGCCGCCTGCTCCGTTCACCAGAGACACCGTCCTGGCTGCCCCTGGGTCCCTTGGCTCAGGTGGGGGCCAAGTACGCATGGGACGGTGGGGGGATGGAACGGCGGGGGGACAGGACGGAGGGGTGATGGGACGGTGGGGGGACAGGACGGAGGGGCGATGGGACGGCGAGGGGATGCGTCACCTGGGTGCTCGGGGTGCATCTGTAGTGCGCGGAGGCAGGCCAGGCACAGGGCCCACAGCTCGTACTCCCGGAAGGGCCGGCCCAGCTGGGACAGGAGGTCCTGCAGGGACACCCACTGTGGACAGGAGAGTGGTGAGGTCAGTGTGGACACCGCTTGCCAGGGCCTGCTGCCTGCAGCGACATGTCCGGGGAACAGGCCAGGGCAAGGCCCACTCTGCTCCACACCTGACAGAAGGGCTGGGGAGGTCCCAAGTCAAACCCAGCATGTGGGGGGCGTGGGGAGACTGGGGCCCTTGGCCCTGTGGATGGAAACGTCCCATGGTGCAGCCACTGCAGACCACAGTGCTGCCGTTCCTCAAAAAGCTCAACACACACCTCCCAGGTGACAGCAGTTCCACGTGGCCACATTCCCCGAGGAACTGAGGGCAGGGCTCACGCATATGTGCACGCCCATGTTCGCAGCAGCACGGCTCGAAACAGCCAATGCGGGGAGCACCCAGGCCTCCACGGACGGATGCAGGGGCAGTGTGGACGGCGCTTGGCCTCGGGACGGGGAGCGTTCTCACGCAGGCTGCCCCGGGGAGGAACTGTGCAGACAGTGGGCTCAGTGAAGAGACCAGACACAAGGCACCGTCCATCCCACCCCCATGAGGTCCCTTGGACGGAGCTCACAGAGGTGGAGGGCGGGCTGGGTGCAGGGGCCGGGCTGGGGGGTTGGGGTTTCGTGTGGGCTGCTGGGGACAGCTGTGCAACAGCGTGAACACACCCGGTGCCGCTGAGCTGGGCTCTTGCAGAGGGTGAAAGTGGTGGCTTTTGTTGGGTGCATTTTCTCACGCACACACACACCCTGACACCGGGCATGCGTTCAGCCTGGGAGGCCGCTCTCCACTCCAAGGCCCCATGGACAGCTGGGACCAAAGTCCACCCTCCGACAGGTGGCTCAGCCACCCCGTGCCTCCGTGTGCCCTTCTGGAAGGTAGGCTGTTGTGCGTGGGACGGCGTGCTGCCAGGGAGAGCAGTGGGAGGGTGGTAGAGGGTGACGGGGCACACGTGCTCAGGACATGCAGAAAAGCCCGAGCCACAGAATGGCCTGCTCTTGTCCTTCAGGTCAACAAGGCCTGGTGGGACAGGTGGCTTGAGGGCACCCCCATTCCCGGGCCGGGCGCTGCCTGGCAGACGGACTTGCGTGCGGGCCACTGGCTTCAGGTGTCCTTGCCCTGAGTTGCTCACGGGGACACAGCTGGGGGTGGCTCACCGAGGAGCCAAGGAGGGCAATGCCCTTGGCCAGGCCTTGGCCCAAGTGTCTTCAGGGGACAGAGGGGCCAACAGGCCAGGCCCCCCAGAACACTGGCTCCAGTAGCATCCTCCATCCTCACGAGCAGCAGCTGACCAGGGGCAGCACTGGGCTGGGGAGGCCCCACCCTGCACAGATGCCACGTCCGGGCAGCTGCTCCAGATCCCAGTGTCCCTGTGGAGGCTGTGGAGGTGGCCCAGCACTGACACCACCAAGCCCCACAGATGAGCAAGCTCAGCCCACAGCTTTGGTTTCTAACTTTTAAAACCGTCGGAACAGGAAGATGAGGAAGGCTGTGAGCGTCAGGACTGGGGAGACAGCCTCTGACATGACGTCCTGGAGCCGGGGCTGCTGGCCTTGCTTCCCGGAAGAAAATTAACCGTCGAGACGGCCGTGCAGGGCTGTGCGAGGAGCCTGGGCCAGGCTGAGGAGGCGGCTGCCTTCTGGGTCATCCTGAGGCAAATGTCCACCCGAGAGGCCATGCCTGGGTGACGGCATCCCCAGCCGCAGCCACAGCTTCCTTCAGAAACGGGGCAGCTCAACAAAAATGTCTTAATTATGGAGCGAGGGTGAAGGTTAATTCCCTGCGTTAAAGTGTTTGTGGCTTTGGAGAGGCTGAGCCCGGACTCACTGACCACTGACCCTCCGGCCACACACAAGACCCAGCCAGACCCGGCCAGACCTGGCCACCCACCTGCTCTGCGGCTGCACTTTCCGGCGGCCTGGCTCCTTCCGGAATTCTCTCATCGTCCCCGGGAGTCTGGGCTTCACCGCTAGCATCTCGAGGGTGTGCGGGGCAGGCTGGGGGTCCGGCCTCTGCTGGCCCCGGACTCGGGTGTGAAGTCTCGGGCTGTCCTGGACTGCCGGGGGCCCCAGGGCCCCTGTCCGCACTGCGGCCTGCACAGGGAACCCCTCCCAGCTGGTGTTCCAGCTCCTGCTCCGGCCACAGCCTGCATTTGGGCTGAGCCTGGAAGCTAGAAAGGCCATTTTTCCTGTCCAGAAAGGCCTTCCTGGGGTCCGGAGGGAATAGTTCCGATATGGGCAGCTGGCTTTTCCCACGGGTCAGCGGCAGGCAGGTGCTGGCCTCGGGGCTGTCGGACGGCAGCCTGGGGAATGTCTGCACTTTCCGCAGGCGGCTCCTCCTGAGGGCGTCTCTGTCCAGGTCCCCGAGGGTGCGCTCGGCATCCAGGACGAGGCTGGCCAGTTCCTCCTGGCTGTGGCTCTCGCCATTTCTCACCGGGGTGGACAGCAGAGCCTTGGTTGGGGAGGTTCTGGGGCCCCGGCTGGCCTCAGACACTGGGCCTTTGGGGGCTGGCAGAACCTCCGGGTCAGCGCTGGGGTCCCCAGGTGGCCTCCTGGGCCCAGCGTTTCCTGGGACAGGCCTCTCCCGCCAGCTGCTCTCGCTGACATCTAGGCACAAGCAAGACGTGGTCACAGCTGGGCACCCTCCTGCCCCTCTCCTCCCACCTCTCCCCTCCCCTCCCCTCCCCTCCCCCATCACAG